CATTCACAAAATATTGATTGAGTGCCTGCTATGTCTTATAGTGTCTTCATCTATGAAACAGGGATGACCACTCTCTCAGGGTTGTTTTGAGGATAAAAGAGTTAGAATATGGAAGGCACTTAGAACAGTGCCTGGCACATAGTGAGTGCTATGTAGTGTTTGCTGTCGTCATTATCAATAGCCAGAGCATATGCTTAGCACCAGAAAGAGAAGCCATTTAGACATAGGACTGTTTAGATTCAAAAGCAGACTTTGCCTCACTTTGTTTTTCTTACCTGAAAATACAATAGTAATTTACTTGCCACTATATGCCTTCAGATTGAAATCTATCACTGGTTGAGTAAAGACTCTAATTCTGAGTTGCTTTTACATCTCTTGTTCATCTAAGCATGTCAGAAGTATTGAGCATTTTTAAACTGTTGTTGCTTCAGTACTTTGCAGTATATGCAAGCAAACACATATCTTGAAATAGAATAGGTATTTCTTATAGGGGAAGGTAACACATTCTTAGATGTAGTATATCCTTACGGGTGGTAGCTGCTGAGCATTCTGTCACCTCTGTGGCCAGGGCCTCAGCAGCTCCAAGAAGTCATCTTCTGGGACCTCATCGATTCCATCCCTAGGCCTGAGGTCCAAGAGAAGCTGGGAAGTTGAGGTTTCAGAATCTTTGACAAGTATTCTTCATCCTCTTACTGGCTTTTTGTCAGCTCTAGGATGTTCATACCTCTTTCACGTTAAGTTTTTCTCGAGAAAACTATTAGTGACTCTTTCCTTGCATTCCATAAACTCTAAACAACTGGGTGAATGAAATCACTGCCTCTGCAGAGTGGTCAGAGGACTATCAAGTGGTCATTTATCTCCTTCCAAGCTGTTGGACTCCGCTGTGCTTCATTCCTACTCCCTCTCCTCTTAGTCTTCAGGATCTGTAGTGACGGGTGCTTGAAGGCAACCTTGGCTTTCACTATAATTCCTGAAGGCTTCCCACCAAGTCAGAAATGGACATAAGGCTCATAGTTATGTTTTCACTCACAGGTCACAGAGAGTTCCCTTGGAAGTCAGAAGCAAGTATATTTATGGTTATATTCTGTTTACAAAACTTCTTAATTTCCAAAGTTTTATGTCTAAAATTTCAAACAGGTAAGAACTGTTGGCAAACTGGTTCATTGAGTTTCTAGGGTGAGGGGCATGTGCTAAAAACCTTGGCCTTGCTGACAACTGCCAGTATTCAAAGAGGGAATACCGGAGGCCTGGCAGGAAATGAGGAGAACATGTGATTCACACAGACCTCTGAAATGCAAGTACCATCTCCTGCTCACAGGTAATGTGAGTGAATAAATAAGATCGTGCCCTAGCCGATTTGGCTCAGTGGATAGAGCATCGGCCCGGGAATCGACGGGTCTCTTTCACATCGATATTTCTGTCTCTCTGTCTCTCCCTCTCCCTTCCACTCTCTCTAAAAATCAATGGAAAAATATCCTCGGATGAGGATTAACAAAAAATAAACAAAAAATAGGTCATAAGCAGGCAGGCAGTCCTGCTGACAAAAATTACATAGTGTAAACAAGTCTCTTTCTTATGAAGCCACTGATAGTTGAGCTCTACTAACTGATCCTAATGTTCAAGGATTGGGAGTTTTAAATGCTGGGCCTTTATACTTCAGCTATCTGTTCCTTTCTATAATAAGCTCACCTTGGTTACAAATGGTTAGTGACCATTAGCAAATAGGACATGTTTGCTTTTCCTAAGTCCCATACTTCCTGCCAGCTTGTTGCCACCAGCTTCCAAAATGAAAAGTTTGTGAAATTGCAGATGAAAACACTTTCAGGTGGAAACACCTCTAATCTGGGCAGAATGAACTTTAAACATTTAACTTTACCAAAAGAAACATAACAGAAGTATAATTTAGACATTTGCTAACATTTCTTCTTAGCAACCCACATTATCTAAATCCTAATCTCAAGAATCTGGAGTGGATGTTCCAGATGTTCATTGTAAGCATCACATTTTAACAAAGGCTTCAACCAACCAGAAAACATCTCGAAGAGGGTCTGTAGCCAGGACAGAGGGGAAATGTGGAGGGAATCCAGGATTCAGTAAAGCCCTGAGAGTTGCCATATCCGAAGGAAGTTCCTATGAATGAGGACATGTGTTTGTTGCTTCGAAGAATGGAATTAGGACACTAATTAGGACACTATTTGGGAGTTGCTAGAGTTCAGTTCCAAGGGAGGAAAGCTTTCTGTAATTAAGTGGTAGCTCTTAATTAGTGGTAGCTCTTAGTTCTTACCCATATGAGGTACTGAGTTCCCTGCCCCAGGAAGGGTTCAAACATAGGCTGGTTTCTGCTGCGGCTTTTACAGAGAGAATTCCTCCTCTGTGGAACAGATGGTCCTAAGGTCTCTTATACCACTAAATGTCTACCATGAAAAAACAGTATTTGAAATCATCTTTGTTTCCCCTTTTTCCTTTTCTTTCAGGCTGTTCACTAGTTAATAACTCATGCTCTGTTGTTGTTGTTTTTTAAATAAATTGCCACTGACCTACCTCTGTGGATAGCTAAGGGGAGCCAAGTAGTGCTCTTTCCTGAATCTGATAAACAGGAACTTAGAAATTCTCACGTGAATTACTTAGCATGAGATAGATAGTTCTGAGCTCGCACCCTTACAAAAATCATTTGAAGTCTAGAAATGTCATCTTTTTTTTTTTAATTTCCCCTTTTCATGCTACCTTGCCTAAGCAAGTCCCTTTCATTATCCTTTTCCTTAATGAAGTTTTGGGTTGTCAGAAAAGGGAATATTGCAGACAAATAAGGCTCAAAGTCATCTTGTTTCCATAAATCTCTTCTGACTCAGAGCAGAACTAGACATTACTGGAACAACTGTGTATCAGAGGAGTGCAAATTAATAATAGATTAGGAGCAGTCTACATTGGAAAACATTGCCCATATCACCCTTCAATCTGAATAACATTGTTTGTTCTCATCCCAGTTACCCAGAAAACCCCAAGGCAGTTAGCACTGGAATGGAGGTTTCTTTGCTGGCGGTAGCAGAGGAAGCTGTTAAATATAACTTAGCCAGGACCTCATTTCTTGCTGCAATCGAGGTCTCAGGTATGCCTAAATCCAAAAATCATATCTTTGTGCTTTTCCAATGGGTAGAAAAAGTGAAAATGGCATGCAAGGAGGTGGGCGGGAAGGGGGATATCTTCATATCCCCAGGACCTTGCACAGTGTGCCTCACCCAACTTGAATTTGTCATGAACAAACAAATGCATTGAAAAACATGAGCAAAGACATAGGCATTTAAGTGCACACTATACTTAATTGGGAAAGGAATGTGAATGACTCTAAAAATATTTCCATATGTAAGGATTTCTAGAATGTAAACTCCATGAAGCCAGGGATTTTTATCTTTTTTTTCCCCACTGATATGTTCCCAGCACCTAAAACAGTGTCTATCATATAGCAGTTGCTCAATAAATATTTGCTGAGGATATGCAGGAATACATGAATCTTAAAAATTATATAAATTAGTGCCCAGAAATAAACCCACACAAATGTATTTAACGGATCTTTGATCAAGGCACAAAGGCAATTCAATGGACAAAGGATCATATATTCAACAAATGGTGTTGGAACAATTAGATATCCATATGCAAAAAAAAAAAAAAAAGATTCTAGACAAAGACCTTCCTCCTTTTACAAACATTAACTTAAAATGGATTGTAGATCTAAATTTAAACTATAAAACATCCAGAAGAAAACATAGAATAAGTGACCTTGGGTTTGGCCATGATTTTTTAGTTACACCACCAAAAGCACAATGCAGAAAGGGGTTCATGGCCAAGGATGGGTTAAATGCCAAATCTCTGAGATGTACAGGGACTTGCACTGGGAAGAGAAGGCCAGAAAAAAGGTGGCTGGGCAGAGTCCACCAGGAGGAGCCTGGAAACAGAGGGCAGAGGGCAGGTAGAGACCAGGAGCCTGTGGCGGTTATGAGGCCTTCGGGTTACACTTTACTGACAATGGGAAGCCATTAGTTTTATGCAGGTGACTGATAGGATTTGATGCAGTCAATAAATGTCAGTTAACTCTGAATCTGAATGACATTTTGATGGTAGATCGTGGGCGCTTTCACTTTAAAAAAGAGAGCGCAGAAGGAGAAAATGAGTTGTTTGGTTTGGGGGAGGGGGTGCTTTTGTTTTTTATTTTTGCATTTGTTTTCTTTTCTTGGGAGTTTGGAGTAAAGCATGAGTTTATTCTGAGGAAGACTAACTTTGAGTCACCTGCACACGTGGAGATGCCAAGGTGATGGTTGGGAATATATGTCGAAGGATTGGGGGAAAGGCTAAAACTCAAGAATTCACCACTCTCATAAATTAGAATCGGAGGGAGAATTAGCCGAGGGAGAGTACAGACTACAAAGAAGGGAAGCCAAAGACAGAGTCACGGGAAGTGCAGGCATTTAGAGAGGGCAAAGGAACAATGTTGAGAGATAGGAGGGAATGGGGAAATTACAACTTTGGTCAAGCCCAAGATAACCTCTAGCTAAGGAATAGAAAACCTAAAGTGGGAAATTTCTGGAGATATAGGAACTAGAATGAAGACTTGAGGTCAAAGGAATAATATAAAGAATTCAGTAGAAGCAATACTGTGTTTTCTGTGTTGCCAAAACCAGGTGCCATTGAAGAAGCCAGTTAAGGCCATGGCAGAGCTACGGTCAAAAAGAAATTGGGTTCCTGATAATTTGTCTTACAAAAATACTTGAGGAAATGCCCAAGCATATAACTATAAGATGTCCATCAGTGCACTTACCATAGCAAAGATTTTTAAATCATTTGAATCTCCAACAATAAAAGCTTAATTAAATTAATTTTTTAAAAATATATTTTATTGATTTTTTACAGAGAGGAAGGGAGAGAGATAGAGAGTCAGAAACATCAATGAGAGAGAAACATCGATCAGCCGCCCCCCACACATCTCCCACTGGGGATGTGCCCACAACCCAGGTACATGCCCCTGACCGGAACCGAACCCGGGACCTTTCAGTCCGCAGGCCAACGCTCTATCCACTGAGCCAAACCGGTTTTGGCTTAATTAAATTAATTTGATTGTACCCATACCAAGCAAAATTTGGCAGCCATGAGAATAAGGGAACATGTTCACGTTATGTTAAGCAGGAACATATTAAAAAGGGATCAAATGTATCCCATGTTTACAAATATACATGTACATATTTATAAATTTATACATATAAATTCTTAATTTTTCTTTCGCATTCATGTTTTCTCATTTTCATCATGGACATATATTTCTTGTGACATTTTAAAAAGAAAAGTGTGGAAATTCTATTACGAGCACATTCACTCTCACTGTTATCAGCATCACCCTCAGGAACAGAGAGGCCTCTAGGCTATCACTTCTGTAGAGACTGAAGCCTCATAGAAAAGTAGTTAGGATGGAATGGTGAGAATTAAATGAATATTATCTCTCCAATAATGTTATAAGGACAGGCACAGTGGATAAGCTCAGACAGGAACTTTCAAAAATGTAGTTGAAATAAGGAAGCAAAGCCAGATGAATACAGCTGAAGATGAATAGGCCCACGGGATGTCTATCAGGCTGAAATTGGGGAACGGTAGCGTCTGTGACCGTAGAATAATAATAGCTCTTCAACTCAGTCACAGAAAAAGGAACTCATCAACCTTGTGAACCTTTACACTGTAATTTTAAATGTTTAAAAGAACCAAATTAAATTATGTAGTTGTAAAGTGGGATGAATTTTCTGAATATTTTAATACTGCTAGGTATAGAACAGATGTTCCCTTACGGAAGCCATGTTCGGTTTGTATAGAATCTGAAATACAAAAATATAATTGTCTGAGCAAGTGTCCTTCAATAAGTCTGCCTTTTAAATGCCATTCGAGATTAGGTGGAAGGTATGCTAGAAAATCATTATTGAAGTTTCCAAGTTACAAGGATTTAGTAAAGACCCAATATGTCTGGCCCGGGTAGCTGGTAAGCATAAATATCTGTGTCACATCTGTATTTCCAGGGAAAGTATGGGGCAGTGCCTAAGGATTCAGTTCTGAGACCCCCAGCTGAGGTTCAGAAAAGCCCAGAACTGATCTCAGAATGCCTAAACTCAGCCTGCCTTTGACAGAGAAGGCTCCAGGTTTAGTTCATACCTTGCCCTCAATTCCGGAGCTATATCCGTGGTAGATGGTCTCCCTCTGCCTGCTGGAGTCCCACTGGGCTCTCAGGGTCAGAATTCCGAGAAGTCAGAGACTCCACTGAGAGTGGGAAAGAATCCTGAGCAGGTGCAGCCCCTGCCGCCTCCTCCCACCCCAACTTTGTGGATCTGTTTCCAGGGAGGTGGGTGATTCAGTGCAGGGCAAGGAGTGGAGGGAAGCAGCACACAGTAATTATGTCTTCCTTGAACTGCTGCAGGCAAAGCCCCTGACATTTATATCCAAAAATGGCTCATTCTGATCCCACAGTCTTCCCAGAGGAAAGTCTGTCATGTCTTCATCACTTTCCATTAAGGGCAAGGATCTGTTCTTCACAGGAGATGGCATCATCAGTGGCCTGCCTTGCATTCAGAAATAGAATAGGGTTAGTCACTGCGCCTGGCACTGCCCACCCAAATCCTGCTGCCCCCACATACCTCCTGTGCTGCCTCTCTTCAGTGCACATCTGCTCCCAGGGTCTGCTTCAGGCTGACCAGTCTTCTCACAGTCAGGGCACCGGGCTGGGGCAAACAAGTCCAGCGAACCGTGATGAATGCCCCACCCCTCCATTGCCTCCCTCTGCCCTTATGAGCTGGATTAGCACCCTTACCCGGCTAAATGCTTCCAGAATGTTCTCTCTACAAAGAAGTGGCTGAAGTAGAATCCATTCATCTCAGAGTTAGTTCTCTGGGCAACTAGCCAGCGATACTTCCTGACAGCTTTCAGGTTTGCAAAAACTTCAGATGCTTCAAAAGATTCAGAGGAAATTACAGACATGGCTACTCCAACCCCAAGACATACACCTGGACCGAGAACACCCAGTGTAATTTTAGTTCAAACACTCATACTCTTGCAGCATCATGCTCATCAAACCAGAGATTTTGTAATAACAAAGTCTGCTATTTGAACTCACAAATTTGGCCATCTGACTTAATTAGTTATGTTCCATATGCAAGGACATTCTTAGGAGTGTTTTTGGAAGTTGTTTTTTCTTGTGCGATTTGATTCTTGTTTTATTTTGTTTTTGTTCCTCCTTCAAAGCCAACTGAGATTTTATAGCTGATGTTTTCAGATGCATCCATCATGACTCATAGCAATTTGATAAAGGATAAAACACTTCTATTTCTCAGGTTAGCTTTAAAAATTCAACATTCAAATGAAAAAATTATATTATTCCGGTAGAAGTCACTGATTAAATTAATGAAAATCGTTATTTTTCAGAGAAGCTCCATAAGACATCTAGACCGTTTTTTTCCCTTCATCCAACTCTGACCTAATTCAGAGCTTTTCTTTTAAGTGTATCTTGATTTAATTAACTGTTTACAAGTTGCCTCTCAAAGATGAGCTTCATTTCTGAGTAAAAACCCTAAGGAAACTTCTGCGGGTCGAGAAGGCTTCAGGAGACGCTTTGACTCCTGAGGTTGAGCCGATGAGGCCTCCTTCCCTTTAGGAAATGCCAGGCTGCTACAGGCATAGTCCCTGGATCTGAGAGCAAGCACAGTACCTGTGAGTACACAGGGCCACTCCAGTGCCCTGAGGTGTCACTGCCCGCCTCCCACCACACCCCTCGGATCACGAGGAGATGGAAAGGCTGCTCATCAGGAACTTTAGAAGATCTGATCCAATAAGACAATGTGGACTTTTCAATTGCCTTAAGAAAAACCCTGTTTGAAAGAGGATATATCTGGAGGATATATAGCTATCTGCTCAAGCACAAAAGACATCCATAGATTTCCTCATTCTTATCTTACCCCCTGTAGGGAGATGCCTGGAAAAGGTCAACGTGATTTTATTTGGTTTCTATAAGTCAAATAAATTAATTATTCTTAAAGATCCACCCTATTTGGGCACTGGGGACACCAGGACAAACGATGTGTGCCCTGCCCTCAAGGAACTTCCAAGAATTTCTCTGTACACCATTCATTTAGAATGAGGTGTTTTATTCCCCAACAGAGAAAATCACTACTAAGTGGATTTCACAGTTTTCTGCCCTTTTGTCAGTAATTCCAAGTCTTCATTTAAAATGTCAGAGGGGAAAAGGCAATGCCCTCTGGAGAGACCGGAGCCTCTAACTCTTTCTTCACACCAGCATGAAATCTGAAAGATGTCTGTGACTTTTCCTTCTCCCTCACCCTTCACATCCAATCAGTCACCTTGAACTAGTCTTCCACATTCCTCATTTCCACTGCCACAGTCTTAACCCTTTGCACTCCGCTGTCCCCTCTCAGGGGACATCGGAATTCTAGCATATCACTCAGATGTCCCCTCTCAGGGGACATTGCAGTTTATTAGTGATTACGGGGAATTGAGTTATTTCAACGCAACTTTTTGAGACATGCATGTTTCCCTGAAGTTTTATCTTGAAATGGCACAAGAAATTAAATCAAAATATCGTAAAATTACTAAGATATATACAAGAAATGTCAGCGGGTTTTGTGTCAGATTAAACAATAAACTACATATTCCCGATGTGGGACAAAGAAAATGGGACTGCATTGTGTGTTCTAACAGGAAAACACCTGGTGGCAGGCGTCAAACCACTTATTACTGTCAAACATGCACTAATCAGCCTGCAATGCATATTGGGGAGTGTTACAAAACTTATCATACTGTACAAAATTATAAACAATAAAATATTGTTTTTTTTGCAAATATACATTCCTCAATGTCACCCAATTCATATAAGTCCAATATAATTATAATACGTTACTTGCTTCCAAAATTATACTAAATAATACGAGGGTCTGTAAATGCACGTTTCCGCCACAAAGTAGCGTCGAGTAGCTGGTAGCCAATGTCCAGAATGGTTGGGAGTGCAAAGGGTTAATTAGGGCTTCATTGATTTTGAGTGCATTCTGGCTCCATCCTCTGTCAGTCTTAACTAGCACTGAACCACTCTCCAGACTCTATCATAACGGCCTTTTTCTATGTCAACCTTTATGCTAGATCATAAGCTCTTGAAGGCAGGCACTGAGTTTTTAACCTCTGTATCCTGGGCACCTGGCACAGTGAAAGGCTAAGAGCAGTCACTCAGCCATGTTTATGAACTGTATGCAAGGAAGGTAGAAAGACATATGTGGGCATTGAATGTCTCCAGACCGCTCTGAGTTTGCAGTTCCTCCTCTTCAGTTTTCTCTCCAACGTCAACAATCACTTTAGATGCTTTAGCAGCATTACTGCTTCTTATTCATTTCTTTTTACTACCCTAATACATTGTTAGTTTCCATCTACTACGGGCCAGCAAACCAGACAATCAGTTTTTAGAGAGTGTGTATATAAGTAAGGGTGACTGGCTCTGGCTGGGTCCCTCTTCTACAATTAGAGCAGCTAAGCTTCGGGGCACGGCTTTGTCCAGAGCTGTGTCAGCACCTTGGGAACTGGGTTCCACTGCTGGGTTGCAGACTGCAGAATTGTCAATATGCCTGAATTAAATTTTTCAGTAATCGGTGATTTTAATTTTTAATTTCATTTCAACAGGAATCTTTCAAATTTGCTTCCGGAAATGTACACAGCAAGACTCGCTTTTACTACATTTTTAAAATAATAAATATGAATCTTTAAAATGTTATTAAAATTTATCTCACTGAAAAATATTAATGTTGTTATTTTTATTTATATCTTTGCTGTTTAACTCTTTCAATCACAGTGTAATATGAAATGAGACAGCATATAAAAAAATCCATGTTAGGCTGGCCAGTGTGGCTCAGTGGTTGAGCATCGACCTATAAATCAGGAGGTCACGGTTTAATTCCCAGTCGGGGCACATGCCTGGGTTGATCCCCAGTGGAGGGTAAGCAGGAGACAGCCCATCAGTGATTCTCATCATTGATGTTTCCATCTCTCTCTCCCCCTCCTTTCCTCTCTGAAATCTCATCATTGATGTTTCCATCTCTCTCTCCCCCTCCTTTCCTCTCTGAAATCTATATCTATATATCTATATCTATATCTATATCTATATCTATATATATATATACATATATATAGATATATTTTAATGTTCAGGTTAAAATGAATATAGAGTATCCTCAATTGTAAATGCATGGACATTGTATTATTCTGTTAAAAATCTCTACCTAAATCTATTTTTATTGGGTTCTTTGTCAATGGAGAGCTGAGCAACACAGCCCTGAAATACTTCTCAGCATAGAGCACTGATTTCTGCTTTTCCTTTTAAAACTGTGGTTGGTTATATTTGCAAGTGAAAAGGCTGAACACCCTTGAAAAAAAGCAGTTGAGCTTGGAATTGAAGCCAACTTCTCCTCCATAAAAGCACAGCCTACACCACCTCCTTTGAAATCACCTTCCACCTGAGCTCCTGCAAATATAAGCCTGGACAGCCAGGAACACGTGTGAACACCTGACATTGGATCAACAAATCCACAGGCAGGACTAAGCCAATTGGATACTTTTTCCTGGAAATGTAGAGCCAGGGCTCTGAGACAGAATTAATGGGTTGATGTTGAGCACTTGACCTGAAGGGATGGAAGTGAACTTGCTGGGCTATATGCAACCTGGAAAGGCTGGTTTAGAGGGAGAGGGAGCAAAGAGAATCATTTTGAGGCCCTAGGAGAGACACAGAGTGTGACCTCAATCTATATAATTTGCAGGGTCTAGTGCAGCCGTGGGCAAACTACGGCCCGCGGGCTGGATCCGGCCCGTTTGAAATGAATAAAACTAAAAAAAAAAAAAAGACCGTACCCTTTTATGTAATGATGTTTACTTTGAATTTATATTAGTTCACACAAACACTCCATCCATGCTTTTGTTCCGGCCCTCCGGCCAGTTTAAGAACCCATTGTGGCCCTCGAGTCAAAAAGTTTGCCCACCCCTGGCCTAGTGCAAAAGGAAAATGTGAAGCCCCTTTTCATAAGCAGGAAAAATGCCATTAAAGGTGCTAAAATATAAGGATTTTTCTTTTAAAAATATTTCATGATTTATAAAATGTATAGGCATATATTAGTCAGCTCAGGCTGCCATAAGAAAATACCACAGTTCTGGAGAATAGAAGTCCAAGATCAAGGTGCCGTCAGGGTTTCTGGTAAGAGCTCTCTTCCTGACTTGCATAAGTAACAACATAAACTTACAAATTGAAGGAAATGACATTTTGGGTGTTATAATCTGAAATAATATAAGTAATATTTTATTATTATTCTAGATTGGTTGATTATAATACATTTCTGGCCCTAACCGGTTTGGCTCAGGGGATAGAGCATCGGCCTGCGGACTGAAAGGTCCCAGGTTCGATTCCAGTCAAGGGCATGTACCTTGGTTGTGGGCAACATCCCCAGTAGGGGGTGTGCAGGAGGCAGCTGATCCATGTTTCTCTCTCATCGATGTTTCTAACTCTCTATCCCTCTCCCTTCCTCTCTGTAAAAAAATCAATAAAATATATTTTTTTAAAAAATAATACATTTCTGGCTCACTTCTGCAAATATATTAGATCATTGAAATGTATACTGTTAACAACTTCATTTTCAATTGGTATTGTGGAAAGCAACATGAGTTGCTCTTAGATAATTCAAAATTACAAATAATGTGTTATCATTTTTCATTTTGAGGAAGATCTATCTGCTGATGCCACTGTTGCTGGAGCTGTTAAGAGTATTTTATAGGCTGTGAAAATATTAGGACAAACTTCTGATTAACTATTTTGAAATACAAATATTAGCACCGTTAGAACTGATGATTCTGGAAAAACATTTTTTTCTAAAAAATAATTAACCCTTTATACAAATCAGTTTCATGTGTCTAAATTTAATTTTAAATATAAATTTGTACAATGGTATTTTAATATTTCCTCTTACATTTCCTGCACCTTAT